TTTTACTTTCAACTTTATCTTTATATTTAAGCATGTCTCTTATAAACATGGTATCACTGAAATCTTTCAGTTGGTTTTAACCTGATGTAATTCAAAGTATTTGGTCTATTAACATTTTTTTTTCTTTTCAATATGCTGTTTGTTTATTATAGCTTTGGACAAGTTTTTCTTTCTTTTTAAAAATTTTTTTTCAACTATAGTTGAGATGCTATATTATATTAGTTTCAGGTGTATAATATAGTATTTAGCCATTTATACAACCTACAAAGTCATCACCCAGATAAGTCTAGTACCCACCTGACAACATACATAGTAATTACAATATTAACTATATTCCCTATGCTGTATTTTACATACCCATGACTGTTTTTGTAATTGACAATTTGTACATCTTAATTCCTTCTCCTTTTCATCCATCCCCCAAACTCCCTCCCATCTGGCAACTATCAAAAGGTTCTCTGTATTTATGAGTTTCTATTTTGCTTGTTTATTTTTTAGATTCTGCATGTAAGTGAAATCATATGGTATTTGTCTTTCTTTGTCTGACTTATTTCACTTATTTCACTTAATACCCTCTAGGTCCATCCATGTTATCACAAATGGCAAGACTTTTTTTTAAGGCTGAGTAATATTCCATTATATATATGTACCACCTCTTCTTTAGCCATTCATTTATCAATGGAGACTTACGATGCTTCCATATCTTGGCTTTCTAAATAATGGTGCAATAAACATAGGGGTGTGTACATCTTTTTGAATTAATGTTTTGGATTTCTTCAGATAAGTACCCAGAAGTGGAATTGCTAGGTCATAAGGTAGTTCCATTTTTAATTTTTTGAGGAACCTCAGTACTGTTTTCCAAAGTGGCTGCACCAATTTACAATCACACTACCAGTGCACGAGGGATCCCTTTTCTCCACATCCCTGCCAACACTTGCTGTTTGTTGATTTATTTTTTTTATCCTCACCCGAGGATATGTTTTATTTTGCTTTTAATCTCCACCCAAGGCTATGTTTAGAGAGAGGAAGAGAAAGGGAAGGAGGGAGGGGGAGAGGGAGAGAGAAGCATTGATCGGTTGCCTCCCCTACACGCCCTGACTGGTGATTGAAACGCAACCTAGGTATGTGCCCTGACCAGGAATCAAACCCAATACCTTTTGGTGTACAGGATGACGCCCAACCAACTGAGCCATCTGGTCAAGGGTGTTTGTAGATTTATTGATGATTGCCATTCTGACAGGTATAAGGTAATATCTTATTACGGTTTTAATTTTCTATTCCCTAATGGTTAGTGATGTTGAACATCTTTTCATATGTCTACTGGTCATCTACATGTCCTCTTAAAGAAATGTCTTTTCAGGTCCTCTGCCCATTTTTAATTGGATTAGTTTGTTGTTGTGGGGTATGGGTTTTTTTGGGGGTGTATGTGTGTTAAGTTGCATGAGTTCCTTATACATTTTGGATATTAACCCCTTATCAGACGTATCATTGGTGAATATATTCTCTCATTCAGCAGGCTTCCTGTCAATGGTTTCCTTTATTGTGCAAAAACTTTTTAGTTTGGTGTGGACCCATTTGGTTATTTTTCTTTTGTTTCCCTTGCCTGAGGAAATATATCAGAAAAATATTGCTCAAAGAAATGTCAGAGCTTTTACTATGTTTTCTTCTAGGAGTTTTATGGTTTCGAGTCTTACATTTAAGTCTTTAATTCATTTTGAGTTTATTCTTGTATATGGTATAAAAAGGTGCTCCAGTTTCATTTCTTTGCATGCATCTGTCCAATTTTACCAACACTATTTACTGAATAGACTGTCTTTACCCCACTGTATGTTCTTGCCTCCTTTGTCAAGTATTAACTGACCATTTAAGCATGGGTTTATTTCTGGGCTCTCTATTCTGTTCCATTGATCTATACGTTTTCATGTCAGTACTGTGCTTTTATAATTACTATGGCCTGTAGTATAGTGTGATATCTGGTAGCATTATACCTCCAACTTTCTTCTTTCTCATGATTGCTTTGGCTATTCAGGATCTTTTGTGGTTCTATATAAATTTTAGGATTATTTGTTCTTGTTCTGTGAAAAATGGCATTAGTATTTTTGATAGGAGTTACACTGAGTCTATAGATTGCTTTGGGTTGTATGGACATTTTTAACAATGTAAATTCTTCCTATCCATGAGCATGGCATATCCTTCCATTTATCTGTATCTTCAATTTCTTTCTTTAACCTCCTTGGTTAAATTTATTCTGTGGGTTTTTGTCAAATGCTTTTCCTGCATCTACTGATATGATTTTTATCCTTCATTTTATTTATGTGGTATATCACATTAATTGATTTGCAGATATTGAACCAAGCTTGCATCCCTGGACTAAGTCCCACTTGATCATGGTTTATGATCTTTTTAATGTATTGCTGAATTCGACATGCTAATATTTTGTTGAAGATTTCTACATGTATGTTCATCAGGAATATCGGCCTATAATTTTATTCTATTTTTGTAATGTCTTTGTCTGGTTTTGGAATCAGGGTAATGCTAGCCTCATAAAATGACCATGTGAGCCTTCCTCCTCTTTGATTTTCTGAAATAGTTTGAGAAGAATAGATGTGAATTGTTTGGCAAAATGCACCTGTGAAACCATCTGGCTCAGGGCTTTTGTTTGTTGGGAGTTTTTTGATCACTGATTTTATTTCATCAGCTGTAACAGGTCTGTTCATAAATTCTATTTCTTGATTCAGTCCTGAAAGATTATTCGTTTTTAGCAATTTATCCATTCCTTCCTGGTTGTCCAATTTGTTGGCATGTATCTGTTTGTAGTATATTCATATCATCTTTGTATTTCTGTGTTGTCTCCTCTTTTATTTCTGATTTATTTGGTCATCTCTTTTTTTTCTTGGTAAGTCTGGTTAAGCGTTTATTAATTTTGTTTATCTTTTCAAAGAACAAGCTCTTGGTGTCACTGATCTTTTATATTGTTTTTGTAGACTCTTTTTTGTTTATTTCACTCCTTTCTACTCACTTTGGGTTTGTTTCTCCTCCTCATCTCCCTCCCGCTTCTTCTTCTTTTCTTTTTACCCTGCTTTTGCATTTAATGTTTTAGAACTGTACAAAGATTCTCACTTCCTAGGCAGAAATATAATTTAGATAGTATTAGGAGTTTCTTCAAATTATTTTAAATTTTCATTTATAAACTACTACATTATGATGAGATGCCCTAAAATAATCACATTGTTGTTGTTGTTGTTATGTAACAATGAAAATCTGTTAGGAAAAAAGGTTGCTTTTTATACTTGCTTGTTCTTTTAAATACTGTGAGAAAGAGGTAAGTAGAGCAGTTGGAAAAGCCCATCATGGTAGCAGGCAATCTTTGGAGACAATGTTCTTAATTCAGTCATGTCTTCCACAGAGCTTTAAGAATGTGATTTCAGCCTGGCTGGTGTGGCTCAATGACTGAGCACCAACCCAGGAACCAAGAGGTCACCAGTTCGATTCCCAGTTAGGGCACATGCTCGGGTTTCGGGCTCCATCCCCAGTAGGGGGCATGCAGGAGGAAGCCAACTGATGAAGTTTCTCTCTCTAATCTCCCTTCCTCTCTAAAAATCAATTAAAACATTAAAAAAAGTGTCCCTTTAACATAGTCTCCAGAAGTATCCGATTTAATTGCTGAATATAGGTAATAGCTTCAACACTTCTTAAACTCTGCTCGGGTGTCCAACAGGTCAATTTCTGATCCGGAAACCATTACTTGGTTCAGAGTAAACTCATCAGTTCCAACACTCTTCAAATCTTGAGTTAGTCTTTCAGCTAAAAGGGCACACATGTCCCTTGCACAATGAACTATGGCCAGCAGTAAGTCTTCAAAATGCCCAGAAAATTCTCCTTTTATGCTGTCCTCAATGTTCTTCTGGCTAATATTTCTGTATTTATCAAATGCTATTTTTATTTATTTAATTTATATTATTTTTAAAAATATATCTTTATTGATTTCAGGGAGAGGAAAAGAGAGGGAGAGAGACAGAAACATCAGTGATGAGAGAGTCATCGATCAGCCACCTCCTACACGCCCCTGACTGGGGATCGAGCCCGCAACCCAGGCATGTGCCCTGATCGGGAATCAAACCCTGATCGCCTGGATCCCAGGTCAACACTCAACCGCTAAGCTACGCCCGGCCGGGCTCAATGCTATTTTTAGTTGAGGAAAGCTCCTTAGACATAGGATCTCAGTGAATTTATCTTCATTCATGCCCCATCTGTTCTCACCAGCATTATAGAGAATCTGGGCATCCTTTTCGGCCAGCTGCTCATCCACTTTTAGACTTTCATCTCTTCTGCCATTTGCCAAAGTCAACAGAAGTTTGTGGAAGTTATCAAATGTTTCAGAGATTCTAATGTCATCTCCAAGACTCTTCTTATATACTGTGTAGTAGGCTTGAGAAATCTCCTTCATCTGCCTGCTTGACCAGGTGGTTAAGACTTCAATCAATGTATCTTCATTTGCTCCAGTGCCCTTCTTCAACTGCTTCACATCAAACACTGCAGGAGGAGTCACAAGGGCCACCATGAGATGCTCAAAGTGGCCAGAGAGACTGCCCTTCAAGTCATCTTTCAGTTTCTTTCCATATGCTGCTTGACATTTCTTAACAATCAGCTGCCACTGTAAACTTGATCTCAGAATGCTGATGAGTGTTTTCATCAATTCCAATTCCTCCAGATTGCCTTAAGAATTGCTTCCGCTCCACTGATGGGCTAAAGCCTGAATAATACCGCACTGTCCCTCGGTGTTCCACCCAGAGAGATGCCACGCTATCCCACCTTTGCCTTGAGTTCAGATTGCACTAACCCTGAAGTGGGGCCCGGTGTGCAGGAGAACCAGGAACCAGGTGTATGTCCCATGTGCTAGTATTCTGGAACTGGTTCCCTGCCAGGCTTGTTTGTTCTTCTTTTTCTAGTTTCTTTAAGTGTAAGGTTAGACTATTTGAGATTTTATTTCTTGAGGTAGGTCTGTATGGCTATAAGTTTCCCTCTTAGAAACACTTCCTTGGGACCTAAGTGGTAAGACTGATGCTAAGAATCCCCTGCCTGACCATGTCAGTATTGCAGAATGCAAAGATGAGATACTGCCCACCAACCCCACCTTGGAACAGAAGGGTGGGAAGCCACAGCTGTATGCCATGTCCTAGCCATTACCAACAGCTACCCCAGCAATTTTTTCATTTCCATTTGCATGAAATATCTTTTTCCATCCATTTCTAAACTTTCAGTCTGTGTATGTCTTTTGATCTTTAATGGGTCTCTTGTAGACAGCATATGTATGGGTCTTATTTTATTATCCATTCAGCTACCCTGTGTCTTCTGATTGGAGCATTTAGCCATTTATATTTAAAGTGATTATTAATAGGTATATAGTTATTGTCATTTTATTATTCATATTTATGTTCTTTTTATTCACTTCTTAAAGAAGTCCCTTTAACATTTCTTGTAATAATGGTTTAGTGGTAATGAACTCCTTTAGCTTTTTCATGTCTGGGAATGTCTTTATCTTACCTTTGATAGTAAATGACAGCCTTGCTAGGTAGATTAACCTTGGTTGTAGGTCCATGCTTTTCATTATTTTAAATATATCATGCCAATCCCTTCTGTACTGCAAAGTTTCTGTTGAGAAATCAGCTGACAGTCTTATGGGAGCTCCCTTGTACATAACTAGTATTTTCTTGCTGCTTTTAAGATTCTCTTTGTCTTTAACCTCTGTTATTTTAACTATGACATGTCTTGATGTGGGCCTCTTTGGGTTTATCTTGTTTGGGAATCTCTGCACGTCTGGACTTGCATGTCTATTTTTACCAGGATAGGGACACTTTAGGTCATTATTTCTTTAAAGAGGTTTTCAATTCCTTGCTCTCTCTTCTCCTTGTGACCCTATAATGTAAATGTTGAACCTATTGTCCCACAGGTCCCTTATCTTCTAAATCACTAATTCAATTCTCTGCTTCATCTAATCTAATGTTGATTCTCTCTAATGTATTCTTCATTTCTTTTATTATATTGTTCACTTTTTAAAATGTCTTTATGGCTTTCAGTGAGAGGAAGAGAGAGAGAGAGGGAGAGAGAGAAATAGAAACATCAATGATAAGAGAGTCATTGATCAGCTGCCTCCTAGATGCCCCCTATTAGGGATTGTGCCCCCAACCCTAGCATGTGCCCTGATGGGGAACTGAACCACGATCTCCTGGATCATAGGTAAATGCTCAACTGCTGAGCTGAGCCAAGCCAAACAGGCTATTTTTCACTTTTGATTGGTTCTTTTTTTGTTTCTATTCATTTTTATGTTTCTCTTCCCATATATGTTCACTGAGCACGCTTATAACCAGTGTTTTGAATTCTGTATGTGGTAGACTGCTAGCTCCATTCTGTTCAGTTCTCTTTCTTGTCCTGTTATTTCATTTGGGACATGTTTCTTTGTCTCCTCACTTTGGCTGACTCACCAAGTTTGTTTCTATGTGTTAGGTAGCTGTTATGCCTCCCAGTCTTGGCAAAACAGACTTATATAGTAGGTGTCCTGTGGGGCCCAGGGATACCCTAGCTGGGTGCTCCAAGGGTGTCCCTTATGTGGTTGTATGTGCTCTCCATTTGTAGTTAAGCCTTGAATGTTGTGATGCAATAGAAGGGATTGACCCTCAGTCTGAGTGGCTATGAGGAATGGCTGTGACTACAGTGGTGAAGCTGTTGTACAGGGCTGACCCCCCAGAATGGGCTTCACTTTAACGGCTGCTTAGCCCATCCTCTGAGTGTGTCATTTGTGGAGATGGTTGGATGGTTGGTTCCGGAGCCTCTCAGGAGGGCTCTGGTGCAGGCCAAGGTCAGCCACTGCCTATATCCAGCCCAGGGTCTTCTGGTAGGAGCTACAAAATGATCCACACTTGGTTGCCACTTGTGCTTATCTTGGAAGTGCCTGTGAGAGGCTAAGCTGTGAAGTGAGGCAGGCTGCCACTAGTGCTGGTCTTGGAGCTGTTTAGCAAGAGGTATGGGGCACATTGAGGCCAGACACTGCTTGTTTGGGGTCTGTGAACCTTTCAGAGATTTTAGGAAAGTGATAGGCTGTTTGTGTGGAGCCACAGCTAAAAGAGATCCCAGCTGTTGCCAGAATAGGGTTGTTGGGATGTCAGGGTATCACCAGGGTGGGATGAATGGTGTTAGCCAGGTTAATGGATCATTCAGATTGGCACCTGTCAGCACCTGCAGGCTGGGTGGGGGAGGGCTCAACAAAGGAACAATGGTGTCTATCAGCACTTTAGTCCTGGAGAGAGCTGCCCCACCAACCCTAACCCAGAAGTTAGTTAGTTCAGTTCCTTCTTGAGTGTCCCTGGCACTTTTCAAGCTGCTGCCCCTGTGCTGGAGCTCAGAATAAGTGAGTTTGTGAGCAAGTGAGTCTGTACATGGTCCCTTTAAGTCCTGCAGTGCCTAGGTTTCCATCTTAGCCACAATCCGCACTGGTTTTCAGAACCAGAAGTTATGGTGACTCCTCTTATTGGCACTGGAGCCCTGAGCTAGAGCTGGGTGTGGGGTTAAGATCCCTCACTTCTCTGGGGGACCTCCAAAGCCAAGATATCCCTCCTATTTCTTAACTGCCACACCATGGATAGAAGATCTGCCGGTTCCTACCAGTCTTGACATGGTTTCTTCTTTATATCCTTAAGATAATGAGAATTCTGTTTAGCTAGACTTCAGGTGGTTCTCAGTCCTATAATTTAGTTGTAATTTTGATGTGGTCATGGAAGGAGGTGAGCATAGCATTTACCTACTCCACCATCTTGACCAGAACTCTGCTTGGTCTATTAATATTTAATGTAATCAATATATTTGGACTCATACCTGACAATCCATTATTTTTTTCTTTGTCTGACCTGATCTATGTTTCTGTTTCTCTCATTTCTTGTCTCCTTTTAAGCTAAGCAAGTATTTTTTGTTTTCACATTTTATCATCTTTATTAGCTTTTAAGGTGTGTATTCATTTGCTATTCTTTAGGTGGTCACTTAAAAGACTACAACAAATATCCGTAACATTTAAGCCTAATATATTTTTAGGACTTCTACCTCTTTCTAGATAACCCAAGGACCTTAGAATAATTTAAGTCCATTTACGCAACCATCTTTTGTGCTGTTTTCATGCACTTTGATTATCTACATATTTTAAGCCCCACAAGACATTATTATTGTGTTTTTAGTAATATTCATTTATATTTACAAATATTATTTACTCCTTCATTGCTCTTCATTCCTTCCTGTAGTTCTGTTTCCAGCTGATATCATTTTCCTTCTACCTGGAGAACCCTCTTTAGTATTTTAGTGAAGATCTTCTGGTGACAAATTCTGAGTTTTGTTAATCTGGAAATGTCTTCACATCATTTTCACTTTTCAAGACTATTGTCACTAGGTACAGAATTCTGGGTTAGCTTCATTTTCTTGTAACACTTAAAATATGCCAAGCTATGTCTTTGGCTTCCATTATTTTAGTTGAGAAGTCATTTGTCAGTCTTTCCATTGCTCAGTTAGGTAATGTTTATTTTTCTCCCCTCTGACTGCTTTTAAGAAATTTTTGTTTTCTTTCATTTGGAGCACTTTGCATCTGGTATGGTTTTCTTTGTATGGTACCCCACTTTACATTAAAAGTGGTTCATGAACCGGTGACTTGATATGTTGGACATTATGCCTTTCTTTCTCGTGTGACTCCAATTACACACATTTAAGAACCTTTCATCCTTTCCTGTATGTCTTTCATATCTTTTTCTCTATTTACCCATCCATTTTGTTCTCTATGCTTGGATAGTTCTACTGACTCATCTATCAGTTCATCAATCATTTCTTCTCCTATGGCCAATATGCTTTTAAACCTACCTTTTCAGTTTTATAATTTCAGTTGCATTTTTTGGTTTTAGAATTTCCATTTGAATGAATATATATCTATATCTTTTATTTTTTTTCCATTTTCTGATAGACAAGAAAATTTCTATCTTTTTACCTAGTATTTGAAAATATAATACATGCCTGACAATTTGGTAATTGGGTCATCTATGAGTCTATAAATATTGTCTGTATTTTTCTTAGCCTCATTTCTTAATGTCTGATATTATATATGAACAAATTATAAAGGCTCTGGATGATGTTATCTCTCTTTAGAGAGGATCCACCCTATTCTCTCTGGTGAGTAGCTAGAATAACAAACAGATCATCTTAATCTAATCAAGGACAGCTTCAAAGCTTGTTTTCCATTTTTATAAAGTTCAATCTATCAAATGGTTTACCCCCTTTTCCTAGGTACAGCACTGTGAGACTGCAAAAAAACTAGAATCTGCTTTTCTGTTTAGCTTCTTAGCCTTTTACCCTGTGCAGCTTAAGAATTTAGAAAATGGCCCGGCCGGGTGTGGCTCAGCGGTGGAGTGTCAACCTGGGATCCAAGCGATCGGGGCTCGATTCCCAGTCAGGGCATATGCCCAGGTTGTGGGCTTGATCAATGACTCTCTCATCATTGATGTTTCTATCTCTCTCTCCCCCTCCTTTCCTCTCTCTGAAATCAATAAAGATATATTTTTTAAAAAAAAAAGAATTTAGAAAATGCCTTGAAGAAAAAACCGTCTTATTCTCAGGCTCCCTTCTCCATGTCCGGATCATGGTCCTTCAAGTCCTGGCAAGCCTAGACTCCAAATTTTGTCTCTACAGCTCTATGAGATTCCTAAAAAGTTTGTTGACTTCTCTGTTCTTAAATGTGGCCCTATGTCGAGAATCTTGGTTTCCTGACCTATAACAAAAATTGACAACTTCCCACGAGGAGAAAAACACTTCACAGATATAGATTTACCACTCCACAATTCTCTCTCTAGGATCTAAGCCCCGAAGGTCCAGTTTGCCTAGGCAGCTCTGTGATGCTTTGCAACAGACTTTTTCAGTTGTTCTCAGCATGAATATTAGTCTGCCACAAGCTACTCCATCTTAGCTGGAAACAAATGTCCCACCTACACTGATTGTATTTTAAGCCTTGAATCAAAATATCCTTTGTACTTTGCCATGATTTGTCTACTAATTTAGAACAGATGCAAATTCTATACACAGACTATAAACAACATGCGCACACATTATATTATAGTTCAGATTTGCATAGTATTGTTACAACTCTGTATGTGACTAATACGTAAGAAAATGTGATTATACATCAATAAAAGCCTGAAATCTTTCAAAAATGGTTGCTTCCTTGAAGACTGAGACACCAAAGTACATGGTCAATATCTTTTAGACCTCTATGTATCCACCAACTATGCAGTGCATTTTGATGTTCATGTTAAAATATTTCATTGTAACCTACCACTTTTCAGACTATTCGTAGGAAGACTTATTAGTGTTCAATGAAGGAGGAAACCTTTAAAAGTTATGTTTTAATAAATTGTTGGGGAATCAGTTTAGTAGCTCCTATGTAGTAAAGGTAAATATATTCCAGAAAAATTAATTCAGTTATATATACATAAACATCTCTCTATATGTGTATGCTGGATCATGACATAAAATGTATATTTCTTACTGTGACTTGTAGTCAAAAGTTTGAAAACCACTTCTCTATAAAATTATCAAAGAGGCCTTGATTTCTTTTCATGAGGCACAAAAAAACAACAGATCTGTTAACTATTACTCATGGGTAATAACTTCTTACCTTTTTAGAACACTTGGCTGTGGTTTTCAGACAGCATTTCTTATGGCAAGCATACTTGCATACTGAAAAACAGGTTCAGAATGCAGAATTTTTAGAAGTCTGTGCACTAATGACAAGAACTTAAAAAGCTTTTAAGTTTATTTTGGACATAAATTTTTTTCTTTAAATCTGAGACTGCTATAATATCATACAATATTAGAAAGAAAAAAATTTTTAACTCATTCTTTATAAATTCAATTTACTTATTTAACCCATTCTATTTGGAAATAATAAAGTTGAAAAACATGCCTAACATTCTAATCAATGTCTATACATTTTATTTTATTTTACCCACTTTCCTCCCCTCCCATATTTCAGTAGAATATTTATCTCTGTGGTTTGATTCACAAAATAGTTTTTCATGTTTCCCTCATATACCTGCTCTACAATCTGCTAAAATGCCAGAAATATCTATTAGAAATCATTCCAATGGGTAAGGAAGGCATTACTGCCAAAGACCTTTATTGAAATAAAAACAAATCAGACAGCACATTAAGGTGTAAGAAAGGCCTTATAGGTCCAGAATAGAGCTCTGAAGAACCAAACATAAAAATTATCAGTTGTGTTTGGGAAGATAAGATAAAGAAAAGGTTCAGAGCAGAAATAACTTCTTAGAGCAAGAGAAAATAGGGTGTCTAGGCAGTTGGGAAGAGGCACACTAAGAGGAAGATACTGAAAACACACTCGGCCTATGTCATTTTGCTACATAGCTCTAGCACCTGCATATCATATCCTTGACCATCTATAGTACAACATGTGGCGTTTTCAAGGCCAAGATCAAGTAAGGACATCATTGTACTGGTGAAATCACCAGTATGGTCACAAAGAAAGTTAGTAAATCTACTAAGAAATCAAACCAAGCCCACTCAAGTCATAAAAAAGCAGATTCTTTACATTTTCAGTTTCAAATCAGAGAGAAAATTATACCAAACCAACAGGAATTAGACTAACATTAAACAATCACTACAGCTTTTTAAACTACTACTAACAAAACAAAACAAAAGGAAACAATTGTTGCACCATAGAACAAATGAACATATCCAGTAATACTGGTGATTTGGCTATGGTGAATATGACTTTTAGCCTTTAGTAAATAAACCCTCACAGAATTACTGACAGCACTGGAGTAGATCCATGAAATGACAGGAATGGAAAAAGGTCTTCTGTAAGCCAGAACCAAGCTGACCTACAAAAAGTCTCTACTAACATTCTAGAACATATATTCTGATGAAAGGATTACCATAGAAAAAAAGGTACCTTTCTGGTTATAATCTAAGAATTCATTAGTTAATTAATCCATCCATTTATAGGTCCATCTACCTAACATATATTTATTAAAACTTACAATGTGCCAGAACTGTTTTAGGCACTGGTGATACAGAAGGGACAGATTAAGTTTCCCAATCTTATACAGCATACATTCTAGTGGGACAAACTAACAAACAAGAAAACAAATGAATACTTAATATAATCTTGAGTGGTGATAAGTGCTATAAAGACTTTTAAAGCTGAGTAAGGGGACAGAGAATTAGGGGACAGGGTGGCATTTGAAGTAAGAGAGTAAAGAAAGAGCTCTCTAACAGATAACATTTGAGTAGAGACATGAATTAACTGAAATAGTCTTACTAATATCTGGAAGAAGAGCATTTCAGATAGACTGAGCTGCAAGTACAGAGACCAAAGAACAGGAAAATATCTGGTTTGGCTACCAAGAGTAGTGAGAGATGAAGTTAGAGAATTAGAAAGTGTGACTTTTTCCTTTATGCTAAAGACATAGGAAAACTAAGGGAACACTGGCCAGTGTGGCTTGGTTGGAGTGTTGTCCCATATGCCAGAAGGTGGTGAGTTTGATTCCCAGTCAAGTCAGGGCACGTGGGGGAGGCAACAGATCAAAAGTATCTTTCTCACACTGATGTTTCATTTTCTTTCTCTCTCTCCCCACTCTACTCTCTAAAAGCAATTACAATTTTTTTTTTTTAAAGTAGAAGAGGGCTTAAAAAGAAAAAGAAAACTAAGGGAAAAAGAAATGTTAAATAGTTTTTAAAAATCCTTAAAGATCTCTTATACTTACATTTGCAAACAGAGGCTCGGTCCATTATCCATATCAAAGAAGAACAGAACTCACAGTATGTAGGAATGCTATACTGAGTGGCCTTAAAGATATGACCATTGTGCTCTTCCACCTGAGTGAAAAAATATAGCTATTAATATTAAAGCCAACAGTAAATGTTGCTCTAGTATGGTCAGCCAATGGGAAATCCTTCAATCCCTTAAGTCCTTCTGAGCGCTTATTCAAGAAAATCATGAACTTCTAAGAAATAAAAGTAAAATATGTGTTCCCTACCTTCAAAAAGCTAACAATTTAGTAGAGAAACAAGACCAACTTATATGAAAATCAGAAAGCAATGCTACAAACACATAAGAGCTGTCTTATGTGAGTCTAACCAGCATGTTAAACTAAAAGCTGCAGTTCTCAAATTTTTATTTTTAACCTCAAAAATCTTTTACACTTTTGAAAATTATTGATGACCTCAAATAACTTGTTTATATGAGTTATACCTACTGATATTTACTACGATAAAAATTAAAACTGAAAAAATTTTATTTATCCAATTCATTTAAAATTAACACTAAACATATTACATGTTAACATAAATAACATTTTTATGAAAAACGACTATATCTTTAAAAAAAAAAAGTAATGACAAGCAGAGTACTGTTTTAACTTTCTGTAGATCTCTTTAATGTCTGGCTTCATAAAAGATACCCACATTCTCATATCCCCATCTTCATTCAACCTGTTGGCAGGTACAATTTAGTTTGAAAGATATGAAGAAAATCCAGGTTCACACAAATATAAACTTGATAAAAATAAAAGAGTAATTGTCCTTTCAGATAATACTACATCAAAACTCTACAAATGATACCTTAAAGGTTAATTGAAATATGGAAACTAAAACCACACCAATAAACTCTTCATGCTTTGTGACATTAAAATCCACTTTTCTGAGCTTCATTAAAATTTACAACTTTTATTTCAAAGTACCATTAAGAAAATAGAAAGATAAGCTACAGATACAGAGAAAATTTTTGCAAATCACATATCTGATAAAGAACTTCTATCTAGAATATACGAAGAACTGTTACAACTTAAAAATAAGATAACTTAATTTAAAAATGGGAAAAATATTAAATAGACAGCTTATTAAAGTAGTACATATGGCCAATAGGCGCATGTAAAGATACTCAAAATTATCAGTAATCAGGGAAACGCAAATTAAAACTATGATGAGATACTGTTTCACACTCACTAGAATGGCTATAATTTAAAAAGACATTAACAACTGTTGGTGAGGATGTGGAGAAAATGGAACCCTCAGATATTGCAGTTGGGCTGTACAATGGTACAGTCACTTGGAAAACAGTTTAGCAATTTTTGGAAATATTCGACACAGAGTTATCATATGACCCAGAAATTCTATTCTTAGGTTTACACCCAAGAGAACTGAAAACACGTGTTCACACAAAAACCTGTAAACGAATATTCACATAGCAGCATTATTCATAATACCCCAAAAGTGAAAACAACTTAAATGCCCATCAAGTGATAAAAAGGGAAATAAAATGTATTATATACACACAATGGGATAGTATTTCAGCACCCCAAAACACCAAACTACTGACATACATAACTTGAATGAACCTCAGAAACATTATGCTATGAAGCCACGTGCAAAGGCTACACATTGTATGATGCCATTTATAGAAAATGACCAGAAAATGCTAAAATATAAAAACAAAAAGTAGATTAGTAATTGCCTGGAACTGAGGATGGTAAAGGGCAATGCCCACAAACTGGCATAAAAAATCTTCTTGGGGTAATGTAAATGTTCTAAAATTGGATTGAGGTAATTATTATAATTTTGTAAATTTATTGAAAATCACTGAAGTGTATAGTTAGAAGGGATAAATTACATTGTAACTAAATTTATCTCAATAAATCTCTTTTAAAAAACATTTTGGTCTATCCTACACTTTAAATGGACATGATTTTATAGTATTATGCATTGGTGATTCAGAGAACACTAGTTCACAGAGTTGTGCAGCCCTTCCAAATGTTGACACATTTTATTTTACACTATCAGAAAGTCATATTCCTTCATATTATCAACAATCTCATTAGAAGATTCTTTACTGGAAAGCTGTCATACACACAGTGGGAAATAAACGTTTTCCACAATTCTAATTTTTGCTTGAAAGCTCAAACTTTACCACTGAAAATAAAGCCAGGTGTTTTCTTTGAAGTGAAAGGGTCACTTTGTTCATTTTCAGAAAATGTTTGCCAAATACCTAAGTCTACGTAAATATAGCTTGTTAATAAAGTAAAAGTGATTTATATTTTAAAAAGTGGCTAGAGACACGTTAACATAAAAAGTTGTACAAAATGTTCCTAGTATCATTACTCATACTAGCAAAAAAGTGGAAAAACGGAAAGACCATAAACTAATGAATAGATAAAGAAAATGTAGTATAATCTATACAGTGGAATACAAATTTGGCTATAAAAAGGAATAAAGTACCATACATGCTACAACATGCATGAATCTTGAAAACCATATGCTAAGTGAAAGAAGATGGACCCAAAAGGCCAATATTGTACGATTTTTTTTTTTCCAATATGAAATGTCCATAATAGGCAAATCCAGAGACAGCAAGTAAATTAGTGGCAGTTAGGGCTGGGGGAAGACAGAATGTATAGTGACTTCTTAGCGGTGATAGTTACCTAATGTAGTGAATACACTCAGGTGCTGCTTAAAATGGGGACACATTCTGAGAAATGCATCATTAGGTGATTTTCTCATTGCGCAAACATCATAGAATACACTTATGAAAATCTAAATGGAATAGCCTACTACATGCATAGGCTATATGGTATAGCTCCTAGGCTACAAATTTACACATGTGACTATACTGAATACTGTAGGCAATTGTAACACTATGTTAAATATTTATGTATGTAAATATATGTAAACGTAGAAAAGGTGTAGTAATAATATAGTATAAAAGATAAGAAATGGTACACATGTATAGGGCATTTACCATGAATGGAGCTTGCTGGATTGGATGTTGCTCTGGGTGAATGAATCAGTGAGTAGTGAGTGAATGTGAAGGCCTAGGACATTACTGTACATCACTGTAGACTTTATAACTAGACAAGTGAATTCAAAATTCATACGGAAAAAGAAGTAGGAATAGCCAGAAAAGTTATAAAAAAGAAAATTAATTAGGGTGGATTTAGCCCTGCCAATTATCACATAAGAAAAGTTCAGTAATTAAAGTAGTGAATGAATATTCAGATCAACTAATGGGACAGAATAAAAAAGATCCAGGCATAAAGGTGAATTTAGAATATAAAAAAGGTGACATCTCAAATATAGGTAAAGATGGCCTTTTAAATAAATGACGTTAGCTTTGGTAAGACGTAAAATTAGATTCGTATCTCATACTATACACCAGGATAAACTACATTAAGATCAGAATTTACGCTGCTGCTGCGGCCCTGGGCCTCGCTGGCCGCTGCACGGCAGCTGGGCCGCGCGCTCCAGCAGCTGGCAGGCCTGGCTGCCCGGCTGCCTGGTTTCCTGGCGCACGCGTGTCAGCCGAGACCCGCACCACTTCCTGCGCCTGTGTGCGCAGCTTGGCTGCATCGCCAACATTTGGATGCTGCGTGACTGCAGCGCCTGGCGCACGCTGTTCAGGCAGTGCGGTAGCCACCGCTTCCATGCGGTCTTCTTCCAGCGCTGCCTGCGTGAACCACAGCCCATCTACCCAGACTTGAATGACGTAGTGGGCTGCCACCTAGGGCGTCCCCATCGGGCTCTGGCTGGAGGCCAAGACCCACCCAGAACCTCTGGATAGGAGCGTACAGCCATGGTCACCTCCATTAGAGGCAACTGAAAATTCCACGTCAGAAGAAATTTGGTTGGCATCCCCACAGTGCTATGAATTAAGACTCGCGAACTTTGCCTCTCTGACTTCCACAAATTTTGTTTGGATCATGTATTAGAAGGGGTGGAAAGATGGATGCCGATCACACTGTTAACTGCTGATGGGCACATCTAGCTTTTACCAGGAAATGAGCAGTACTTAGACGACTGAAACTTCTTAGAAAATCTTTTGTCCACTGAAAGAAAGACTGAAAAAATCATGAAGGAAGGCAAGAAATTTCACCGAATAGTGATATACAGTCACCATATTTATAGTATCCACGTGATTGTTCAAAGTATAAACATGTTTACCCTAAGACCTATGTAGTAAGAGTAATTTGTAGTGTATTGCTTATTTGTAAGCTGGCCTACTTTAAGTTGTCCTAATAAATAATGAGGGATAATTAGACTTGCTTGGAACTTAAGTAACTTGGTGCCTATAAAAGTTATAGTACAGTCTTTCATATTTCAAGTGTATTACAGAGCTCTCTTGCTTATTTTATTTAAACCTTACAGTGTCACACAAGCATAAAGTATTAATGATCTTTTTACTGAAATGAGAAAAGAAATTTCACAAGGGTTTCCACTTCTGTATTGTTTTATTATGAAAAGTTTAAATAAATTGCCCCAAAAAGATCAGAATTTAAAAGTAAAAAAATGTGACCATTAAAGTATTAGAAGAAAAAAATTAAGAATTTCTTTTTAACCTTCAGGTGGGGGAAAGTTTAATTGTAACCCCAAATTCAGAGGCTATGGAAAAAAAGATTGGTAAGTCTAATTTTGTAAAAGTAAAAATCTTCTATATAGCAAGTAACATCAAAAGGTAGGTCAAAAGACAACTGACAAAATGGGAAAACATATTTGCAACTTATATCACCACAAAAGTAATCTGCCTCATATATGAAATTCCTAGAAATTGAGAAAGAAAAGACCCAAAACCCCAATAGAAAAATGGGCAACGAACATAAACATATAGGACATGGGGGAAAATGCAAATGGTACTTAAGAATAAGAAGAGATAAACTCACTGAAAATAAGAGAAAAGCAAATTAAAACTACAACGAGATACAATATTCCTTATCTATCAAACTGGCAAAAATCTAAAAATTTAACAACGCATATTCATACATTACTGTTAAAACTGAAAAATGAGATAACCCCTATGGGGAAATGAAGCACTATTTATCAAAATAACAGATGCATTTTACCTATGACCCAATAATTCCAATTCTAAGAATATCCCTCCACTCACTCACACTTATGCACACACACACACACACACACACACAGTTAATGACTTTGCCATTATTATTTGTAAAAGCAGAAAACCAGAAACAACCCAAAGGCTCAGCGAGGAATACTGGCTGTAAAACAGATTTTGATACACTGCTATTATATGTTTTCTATTGCTACTGTAACAAATTACCATAAACTTAGCAGCTTAAAACAACATCCATTTAGTGTCACATAGTTTTGTAGGTCAGAAGTCAGCCAACCATTTTATGAAGCCACCGTTGATAACAAGTCAAATCACAAAAGACAAAGCCACATGTCATTCCAAAATTTTTTAAAGCAATAAATGATTACCCTCCAGGCAGCTGACAAACTTATTCCTTAAATATATCCACATAAATACTGTATGATATGCTTCAGACTGCTGGTCTAAAAATTACTTTTTTATAACATAAAAGATTATGACTTACTAAATCAGTCTCTTTTTTCCTTCTTTTCTTTCTTTCTGCTTTTGGCACCTGGTGGGAAATAAATACAAAAGCTGTGATGTAACAAGGACTAACATACTTTCTGACTTCTTTGCAAATGTTAAGATTTTTGTTCAAAAGGTAACAGAATAATAAGCAAATGAGAGTAAGTTTGAAGTTTGATGAAACAGTGGTCATAAAAACAACAGAATGTAAGGATATTTTAGAGATTATTTTCTTTTTAAACCTCAGTTCTGTCCAGAAACCACACCATATTAATTTAAATAATGATTTTACTTTACTCATTAATTAAATGATTACTAATTTTAAATTTTGCACTTTCCCTATTTTGGCTCTATAAAACTCTCTATCCCAGAGCTAAATATAAAAAACTATCATTTGGAACATAAAAAAGCTCTTTTACATATGACAGTGCCTGATAACCGTAGTATAGAACAATCCAAGCCTGACCTTTTAAAATTATAAACAAAGGCAGAATAAGCCTAGTAAGTATCTTCTGTATAACATAAAGACCTTAACCTAGATCTAGAACAGAAGAACTTTTAAGGATTTATTTGTATCTGACTACTTCAAAAATGATTTAAGATGGTTTGTAAAGCTAAACACATATAACTAGAATAACTGAAAATAAAACAGAACATAACAAAAAGAATTAACAGTATTCCTAATACCTAATAATTAGATACCTAATTATTTTAGCTGGGGTACTAAATGGAAACACATTGATAACTTTGTTTAAGCCTGCTATCTCTTCTATAACATGGATTTCTTAATAGCTACTTAATAGGGCTGAAGCAAGAATTAAATAAAATATCAAACACCTACTCCAATTCCTGGTACTTAATGAAGATTATTATTACTATTCTATACACTTCCAGAAACACACATTTTCCTAAAACATAATTCAAGGAGAAATATAATTTGTGAGTCCTTACATAAAGGTGACTAGATGATAGCGTGAATCACACTTTCAATCACTGTTTTACAAAAGAAAATTTATGTACTGACCGCTATCGAAGCTGAGGGTATAACCTTGAGGGCACAACATTATATTTTACCTCAGTGAAGAATGTATTAATTGCAGAAGATTTAGAAAATATGGTCTGGTGAACTTATAAGATGGAATGGAGTTTGTTAAATCTCAAGTACGGCTAAGTTGACATGTTCACTGTAATGTTTTTCTCAAATATCAGATGTCCTAAAAAGACTCTTAAGCAGAGTTAATAACTGAATCAAAATATGTCATATTTACCTTTGCGGGTATACAATCCAAAGTCTTGAATTCATTCATATATTCATCTAAAAACACTTTAAAAGTGTTGACCCAAACTCTGACTGGAGATTCTCTCCAATCACGCTGCTCAAGTCTCATGGTCTTTTCCAGAATCTGCTCAAATAGTGCATAGAGGTCTTTATACCGTATGCTTTTCCCATCATCTACCTAATAAGCAATAAAAGAAGAAATTTAAGGTTTTAGGAAGAAATTCTTTAATATAGAAGATTGATTCAATTTGCATTGGGTAGTATTCAGAATAAAAATTAGGAACCTGATATATACTTTCTAATGGGCATGCCCATGAGGTCATGTGGTATTTATAGATGTAAACTCCCACTTGACTGTGAAATATCTGCTGAGTAAAACCTGCTAAATTTTAGTAAAATACCTAACAATTTAAACAATGTAGAAATTTGAAAAATTGCTGGGAATTTCTCCATAGTCTGTCATTAATTATTATATACTTTAGCATCAAAAATAAAATTTGTAAAACACAACCAATATCATATGAAAGTATAAAGTAAATCTGAAAGTGATATAAACTGATAGGTAGAAATTAGTCAACAAAACTGTTCTAATTCCACTGGAAAAAAAAACCTGTATAATAATTCCACGCATATAAGAATTAGAAGCTAGAACTAAAGGATTATAAGAAGTGAAAATAGTAGAATCCCTGGGTGAAATAGAATCATACACAGAATATATAAATTAAATATCTTAAGAAGATGAAAATATACCCAGAAGGGGGAAAGAGAAAACTACTCAGGGAAATTCAAGGAAGCTACTAATCTGAGGTCAGTCAATATGCTTTTCCCTAGCTATACCTAAAACAAAAACAAGGAACTGGAGAAATCTCTAGTTGAACATGACCTCTGTATTTTCTTCTACAATACTGACAAGTTTTTTGTATGTTGATCTACAAAATATATACTACTACTGCCCAACTTACGGCCAATGCAGATGAATAAAAGCTGAAGATATTTTGCCGGAATTCTTTCAGGGCTTTTTTAAATACAACATCCACTAGTGTGTCTTTCTTGCTGTCTTCATTATCTAGGTCATTCATCTGGGGACCACAAAAAGAGTTTTTGTACAGAATCAAGTAATTGAAAAGAAGTGAATGCAACAGTGAACACATATGACTTCCCTGAAAGTGCAAGCCACTGCTATTATAGGACCCAGGTAAAAGCATGACTAAATAGCCTAAGTTTAATTACTACTAGATGATTTTCTAATGTCCCTTCTAACATTTATGATTCTATAGTTCTTCCATAAAAACAAGTCCAAGTGTGCAATGATAAGCCTCACCTTCACATATGGAATATATAACATGACAGTTACAGTAAAATGGAAGTCAAGAGTAAAGCCTAAAACCTTAAATTCTGTTTACCCAGATTGACTAATGTGTATTATATTATTTGTACCTTCCTGGCAAAAAAAAGACCATCTAACTTAATGAAGCATATGTCATCTTGTGGGCCACATCCTGATGTATCACAAGTATTCCACAGTCAAAGCTGCTCAGCGGTCTAACTCAGCATTCAAAGTGTACCTTTTTCAGAAGAAACTCATCCATGCTTTTTAAATCACTGGCACTTGCTATGATCTGGACAGAGTCATTTTGCCAATACATAGATTCCAAAGCCACACTGCTGATCTTCACACTTCGCTTGCGCTTTGCCTTTGGAGAAGGCTCTTTGTTCTCTTTGAACTCCTTCTGGCAACTACCAGGCAATTCTGGGCTCAAAGGAGGTGTAGGGTGACACTGAGATAATTCTATAATTCAAGATAGAGTAGCGAAAAAGAACAGAAATTTAGTAAAACACCGAAATCTCTGCATCCTTCCTTTTAAGTAGGAAGTTCCTTTAGTAAGTCACTGTAAGAAACACAGGTAAATATTTGAAAAGCAAAGTACGTTAATGTTTGAGGCCAGGCAGTTAAACAATAAATCTAGACTGCACATTTGTACAGAAAATGTATTTAAGAATTACCATTTTTCAATAGAAAATGCTAACATATCTTCCTAAGGTCTGTTACTGAAAACCTGAACAGAAGCATCTTGTAGAACTGAAGCCCGGATCCCAGAGACCTCAATCCCACAGAAAAGAAAGAAGCCCGGCCGGGCGTGGCTCAGCAGTTGAGCATGGACCTAGGATCCAGGTGATTGGGGTTTGAGTTCCGGTCAGCGCACATGCCCGGGTTGCAGGCTCGATCAATGACTCTCTCATCATTGATGTTCCTATATCTCTCTCTCCCTCTCCTTTCCTCTCTCTGAAATCAATAAAGATATATTTTAAACAAAAAAAAAAAAAAGAAAGAAGAGTACATGTTAAATGCTGTTAACCCAGTCATAGTTTTACTGTATCTCTTTGAAAGAACATCCAGCTATATAACTCCAACAAACCAGTGAAGTTTGATAATTATTATTATTTCTGCCCAAAGATAATTAAAAAGCTACAATCTTAACTTTTATACACATACCCTTATAGAGCAAATACATAATGAAGACTGCTAATAATATATGCTCCAACTAGGGGCTAAAGCCATGAATGCTTCAGTAATAATATCTGAACTTAGTTTGGCAACCTGTTTAGGGAGCCAAGTAACAACTGGCTCACTTCTGCTTCTATCTCTTTTGTATATAGAATTTTCTTATTTATTTTCCAAGTAACTGTCTGAATTTCCCAGAGAATTCCTGGAATGAATCTGGCTTTGTATATAATATTAGAAAATAAAACAAATTTTCTCTACAATTGTTTACACCAGAGAAATGAGATTCTGTGTAGTCCATTACAATCTAGGACTACACTGGATTTGCTAACACCCTGCCTGGGGCTTCATGAGAATATTGGCTCCTCATTTCACATATCTGTTTGTTCACATATCTGTTTGTTTACATGTATTCACCTTACTCTCTCTCCAATGATATATTCTCATCTCACCTAAAAGCTAATTCTGACACTGAAAGAAAAAAAAAGTTGCCTCCCCTTAATTCCACCCCAGGCAGAAGTAAGGCTAACCCAATCTCACATATGATACCAGAATAAAAATTACAAAGGTATAGGATACAAGTATATTCAAATTGGTATCAACTAATTTTAATTCCATTATATAACCTAGATAGATATATAAGTATTTCATTTAGCAAAGTCAATTATCTCTTATAATAAAAGAAATATTATGAAAGAAATTGTTTATAATCCTACTTCACCATTAAAAACAAGGGCTACCTTAATAAATTTCTGGCCAAAGATATTTAAAAAGCTATAACCTTATACTCTTACGGAGCAAATATAAAATGAAGACTGCTAATAATATATGCTCCAACTAAAGAGCTTTAACCTTCCTTCTTGAGAATTAGCAATGGAGAAAAATAACTATGAAAAGTGAAAAATTTAGAATGATTACTGTAAATCAGATAAGATATACAAAAGTGATCATGTTAGTAATGTAATGGAAAGGAACTCCAAATATTCCAAACTAAACCTGTAGTATTCACTTAATTCATTATTGGTTTTACCCTTATCAGTTTTCCAATTGATAGGAGCAAAGCCACAAGACACAAAAACAGGGCTCCAACTATATTTCTACCATTTTTGCCTCTAACACACAGGTGCCCATCCATTCCTATGTTAAAGTTGATGATCCTTTCTCCTTGTCCCATTACCATAGATATTAGGAGTTTTATTTACTTATTGTAATTGGCTCTGTTGTATCTTTCTTTAAGGATAATAACTTTCTTCCTAGGACCTCTTTCCATGTTATTCAATACTGGTATTTCACCCATTGCATACCTACCTCTGATGTACATTCCTACTGAAGACAGCTGACATCTTTACATATAGTAATTAAAAACATGCTTAAGCAAAGGGAAGAATGGGATAATCTAACAGTGGGATTACTGAAATCCTTGGAGAATACTAGCATTTTAAAAAGCCAGCTTTCTCAACAGATAAACTAACTGTTGTGTACTTTCAAATGTGTTATGATTGATGGCCAAAAAGTTAAAGTAACAGTTACCATTATAAAGTTCCAGGCACTGACATATGGTAGGTACTTAATATGTAGGATGGTGGTTAAGAATGTGGACTCTAGCCCTGCCGGGCGTGGCTCAGCGGGTGAGCGTTAACCTAAGATCCAGGCGATTGGGGTTCGATTCCCGGTCAGAGCACATGCCCGGGTTGTGGGCTCGATTTCCCAGTTGGGGGTGTGCAGGAGGTAGCCGATCAATGACTCTCTCATCATTGATGTTTCTATCTTTCTCTCTCTCCCTCTCTTTCCTCTATCTGAGATCAATAAAGATATATTTAAAAAAAAATAAAAAATTGAGGCAAACTGAAGATTCAACCATTCTTAAAGTAGTTGTTGCTTTACCATTTTGTGCCACATTTCCCTGGAACTTATATTACAGGTACAATGTATTTTTACAATTATCTTTTAGATAAGAGAGGATTTAATAATCCTGGTCCTTTCTCATTAGAATATCTAGCCAACAGGACTGCCATTATGAATACTAAAACAACAGCAAACTTTCAGAAAGAGTGAACAGGAATTATGAAGACAGTCTCCACCCTTTGTCTATTTTTACCATCTGGAAACTGATGAACTGGAATCATATCTGGGCCAGCAAAGAGTGACGAAACCTCTGACTGGGTGGCAGGTTTCACTCTGGTAGTCTTCTTCTCCCCTTGTTTCCCTTTGGCCCAGAATCTCATCCTAGCTCTCTGAGGTCTATTTAAGAAAAAAAAAAAGGTAAAAATGGAAATCAGCAAGTCCCAATGGTAACATTTGTACACCACTTTAAGACTTTTCATGTGCCTTAGTTCATTTAACGTTCACACCTAAATTTAATATTTAATTTTCAATTTCACACTTAAATTTTATCTGAAAGGTAAATAGTTTCATCATCTTGAATACTGAAAGAATAAGATCCAGACATTAAATAATTCCCTAAAATAAACAGCTACAAAGCAATGGAACTAGGATTCCAACTCAGGTTTTCTAATTCTTAAACTAGTATCTCTTCATTCTTGTCCTCCTTCTAGCTTAGACTTAGTGTATAGGTAACTCAACAAGAAAGAAAATACTTTTAAAGAAATCACTGATATCTCATCACTCTAAAACATATTAGATTACACTTTGGGGGGTAATTTCCTTCCAGTATTTATCAATAAGCATACCCGTTTTTACATCCTATAATCGTGATACAGATTCAATTTTGAATCTTTCCATTTACCATTATATAACAAAGGTTTTAATGTTACTCTTTTATATTCATTAGTTATCAATCTTTTTAACAAAAGCCACCACTTACTTGAGTTATTACCTTGCTCCAGGCACAGGACTAAGTGCTTGTGCAGGATTACTTTTTAAAATTATTACAACAAGTTTACTTTCAAACTATTATAACCATTTTACAGGTGAAAAACTGATAGCTTAACCATTAGGTACCTTTTCCAAGGATGCACATCCAGTGAGTGACAAAGTTGCAAACCACACATACTATACTATATTGCCTCATTCTTAGTGCTTATATACTCTTCTATCATATAAATCAAGGCAACACTTTGAAGTATTAACAACAGCTCACATTTACTGACCACATATAAGGTATCCTAACCCCATTCTAGGAGACTTATTTGTACATTAGTGTGTTCCTTCATATGTTCATTGAGTCAATCAAAAAAATATTTGAATATCTAATAGAAGCCAGGTATTATGCCTTATATATGATATGCCTAATTTTCACAACTATAACTGACCCCGAACAACATGGGGGTTAGGGGCACCTAACCCATGAACAGTTGAAAATCGGGTATAACTTTTAAGTCCCCTAAAACTTAACTACCAATAGCCCACTGTTGACTGGAAGCCTTACTGATAAAGTCAATTAACACATATTTTTTATGTTATATGTATTATATACTGTATTCTTACAATAAAGTAAGCTAGAGGAAAGAAAATGTTATTAAGAAAATCGTAAGAGCCCTGAAGGTTTTGCTCAGTGGTCAGCACTGGACCGAAGGGTCCCAGGTTCGATTATGGCCAAGGGCACATACCTCGGTTGCAGGTTCAATCCCCAGCCACAGTTGGTGCACGAGCAGGAGGCAACCAATCAATGTCTCTCTCTCACATCAATGTTTCTCTTCTTCTCCCCCACCCCTCCCCCCTTCCACTCTCTCTGAAAAGCAATAGAAAAAATATCCTCTGGTGAGGATAAAAAAAAAAAAAAAAAAAAGTAAGAGAAAATATATCTACAGTACTGTATATATTTATTGCAAAAAATCTGCATATAAGTGGACCCAACCAATTCAAATCCATGTTGTTTAATAGTCAAATGTACTGTGATATAGGTATTATTATTATTTTACACATGAGCAAACGAGGCTCAGGGGGCTGATGGAGCTGGAAGTTAAAGTGAGGTCTATCTGGATTTGAAGCCCATGATCTTTTTTCCTTTGTTTTGTTTGTTTTTTAAAGCTTTTTACTAAACTTTTATGTTCAGATAGCATAAAGAGAAATTTTCTACAAGGCTTATTACAAATGACATCATCCTTCTGCCATTCTCATTCCTTTTCTGCTCCCTGAAGACAACCCTTTTGAATTAGTTTCACTGATTCTTTTAATATTTACTGTGCTTACATTGCTATCTATACTTGTGACACAGATGATTAAACATGTTCCACCACTTCTGTTCTACATCCTCCTCAAACACACATGTGCCCCAACAGAATCATAATTTTAGTTAAATCAATGTATTTTCTTTTAGTAGTTAATATTCACTATTTTTATTATGCAAATAATATTCACAACTAAGTCATATAGTTCCCTGCATAACCTACTTTTTTCTAGAGTTAATAAATTTTGTTTTATATTGGCTTACTTTTCTCCATACAGTTTCTCCACTTGTGTATATCTCCTTTTAACAAGTTCAAACACAGTATGTACTCCATCAAGTTTCATGTTCTTGAAATCTTTCTTCTGAGCCGTCTAACCTACTCCAGTCTGGCGTGGTTTCCCTCAGTGCCTGCTGTACAACTATCATTTGAAAAGCTACTTTCACCATCATAATGGAGATTCCTTTTGTCTCTACTGTTTTATGCCCTATCTTTTGGTTTAAGTCTATTTTCATCCATTATGCTGGGCCCTCAGTGGGTCCTTCCTATGTAGAAACTCCTGTCCTTCAGTTCTATAAGATTTATTTGAATTACTTTATTAAGGATTTCATCCCCTCCATTTTCTTTGTTCTCTTTCCAGAGCTCCCATTGGATCTGCTGAACAGCTCCTCTAATTTTCCTTTTTTCTTGTCTCTTCCATCTATTTGCTCAACTTTCTGAGATATGGCCTCATTTTCTTAACACTTCTGAGTTGCTTCTTTATGCTATTATATTTTTAATGTTCAAAACACTTTTTATTATGTTTCTTTTTCACACACACTGTTTGGTTTCATGAATGTAGTTATATTTATTTAAGCAGGTCTGTTGATAGTTGTATTGTCTGTCTTGAAATCCCTCCTCCTCCAGTTTATTTCTTCCAAGTTGTATTTTGTCCATTAGTTTTAGTTTCTTTCATATAAGGTGCTTCCTCAAATGTTTGGAGGTTAAATATAAGATAAAAAAAAAAAAGCTGTTTGGAAGCTCTAGTGTGCATTGGTGGGGCTTCCACACTATGGTCTTCCTCGTAGGGTTATCTCACTGGTCTGTTTTGTAGGAAGAGCCCCTGATACCAGTATCTCTAGGTCTTTCCTAGAGGGTTAGATAAAAAGTCCCAAAGACTCTTTAAACCATCTGCTTAGAGGGTACATGAAATGTGGAAGCTGAGTCAAGAAAAAAAGCTAGGCAATCTAACATTCAGTATATAAACATTCACTAAATCCCCTGTGCAAAGTATGTATCTGTCTTCAAAACTCTGGTAGTTTCCAAGTGCAGAGATCTTCTGTTTTAGCCTTTCCAGGGAATAAATCTCCTGTTTTCTGCTAGGATTGTGGAAGAACAGTCAACCTGATGCTACTTTCTCAGCTTTACCCAGTTGGTTTAGGATTCAACTTTCCCCTATTTTTTAAAATTTTTATTTATTTTGAGAGAGAGAGAAAGAGAGGGAGAGAAACATTGATGTGAGAGCAAAACATCAATTGGCTGCTTCCTGCACACCCCCTACTGGGGATCAAGCCCACAACCCAGGCATATGCCCTGACCGGGAACCAAACCAGCAACCTTTTGGTGCACAAGATGACATCCAACCAACTGAACCACACCAGCCAGGGCACATTTAAATTTGTCTATTTACCTTTTGGATACCACAGCTTTATTATTGTTACCTTCTGTTGTTTTGTTATTATTTTGTTTTCTGTCTTGCATAAATTTTGTGATTTTAGCAATTTTGGAGGAGAAAGTGGAAATTAAATTTGTATACTTAATCTGCTATCTCCAGCCATATGTTCTTTCTAGTTTAAGAAATTTATCTCTAGGATAAGTAGTTCTGAATTTGGGTCATCTGGCTTATGCCTCTACAGACCTTAAGGAAGTGGTTTTCAATAGTGTTATGAACCAGACAGACTTCTGGTTTAGTGAAGGCCTGATTTCATTATATAACACAATAAGGAACAAATGTTTGTTTGTTTATATTTATTCTGCTTAATTCTTCTTTAAATATTTTCCAGTCAGTTTTGGTAATAAATATTTTCTTGAAACAAATCAATTTTATTTGTACTTCAAGTTCATTTTTAAAAATAAATATAAAACTATTTTAATATTTCTTCTGTAACTGTAATGATTTCTCCATCCACAATTAAAATACTATAAAATTATTTTTTTTATTGTGAACTTGCTGTTTTTATTTTTCTCTTAAATTTTTCCCCCCAACCCACAGTCCATGCCCAACAGTATTCTGTACTAGTTCCAGATGTATAGCAAAGTGGCCAGAAAATCACATACCCTACAGAGTGATCTCCCTGCTGCCCCAAGCACCCACCTGGCACCATACATTATTATTACAATATTACTGATTATATTTCCAGTGTTGTACCTTATATCCCCATGAATTTGTAACTACCAATTTGTACTTCTCAATCTCTTCACCTTTTCACCCAGTCACCCAACTCCCCTCCCCTCTGGCAGCTGTCAGTATGTTCTCTTGTATCTATGAGTCTGGATCTATTTTGTTTATTATTTTCATCCATTAGATTCTACATATAAGTGAAATCATATGGTATTTGTCTTTCTCTGACTGGCTTATTTCACTTAGCATAATATCCTTTAGGTCCATTCACGCTGTCACAAAAGGTAAAATTTCTTTTTTATTACGGCCAAGTAGTATTCCATTGTATAAATGTACCACAGCTCTTTTATCCACTTATCTATTGATGGGCACTTGGGTTGCTTCCATATCTTGGCTACTGTAAATAACGCTGCAGTGAACATATGGATGCATATATTCTTTAGAATTTGTGTTTCAGGTTTCTTTGAATATATGCCCAGAAGTGGAATCACTGGGTCAAAAGGCAATTCCAGCCCAGCCAGGCATGGCTCAGCAGTTGAGCATCGACCTAGGATCCAGGCAATCAGGGTTCGATTCCCGGTCAGGGCACATGCCTGGGTTGCAGGCTGCAGCCGATCAGTGGCTCTCTCATCATTGATGTTTCTATCTTTCTCCCTTCCTCTCTCTGAAATCAATAAAGATATTTTTTTTTTTTAAAAAAAAAAAAGGCAATTCCATTTTTAATTTTTTGAGGAATGTCCACACTGTTTTCCACAATGGTTGCACCAATCTGCATTCCCACCAACAGTGTACTAGGGTTCCCTTTTCTCCACATCCCAAATATATTTATTTGACAAGTAAAAATTCCACATACTCTCTTAAAGAGAACAGAATTATTGCCCAGGAGGCATGAGTCAGTGGTTGAGCATCAACCTATGATCCAGGAGATCTTGGTTCAATTCCTGATCAGGGTACACGCCTGGGTTGTGGGCTCAGTCCCCAGTGGGGGGTGTGCAGGAGGCAGCCAATCAATGAATCTCTCATCATTTATGTTTCTCTCTCTCTCTCTTCCCCTTTCTCCCTTCCTATCTCTGAAACCAATAAAGATATATTAAAAAAAAAAAAAAAAAGAGAGAGAGAACAGAACTATTTCCCCAAATATTTTTCCAGTTTTATCTGTAAAACACTTAACTCAGAATAAAACCTATGTCCAAAACTGGAAAACATTTTCAATCTCATCTGGTCAATTCTCTTCTTTTACAACAGAAAATATCACAAATCATATAATGATTTAAAGACTTTGCTCAAATCACACTTAGAAAGATAAAGCTCATTTTATGTATCTGAAAACTATTATGTGCCTGTCACTAGTAGGTACTTAATACTTGTTGGAAATAGCTAAATTTCAAAACTAATTGCTCTATCAATTATGTTTTTAAAAGGAAGCTCAGGCCTGGCCGGGCGTGGCTCAGCGGTTGAGCGTCGACCTAGGATCCAGGCGATCAGGGTTCAATTCCCGGTCAGGGCACATACCCGGGCTGCAGGCTCGGTCCCCAGTCGGGGGCGTGCAGGAGGCAGCTGATCAATGACTCTCTCATCACTGATGTTTCTATCTCTCTTTCTCTCTCCTTTCCTCTCTCCGAAATCAATAAAGATATATTTAAAAAAAAAAAAAACTCAGGATTTAACTATAGTTAATTAGGAAATAAAATTATATTATTCCTATTAACTCTGGGTGTACTTTATACCTGATATCCAAATCTGAAGCCTTCTGTCTCACTGCCAACTTCGTAATCTCTCCTTGAGACATAGTCTTATGCAGCTTTGTTTCTTCATCAACTGAAGAAAATCGTTGTGATGTCTGTAATAATTACATATGTGAAAGAATTTAAAACCAAGTCATATATGACAGCACTGTAATTAAAACTCAAGTTATAGAATTTTTTGAGAAATACACCTATTAAAAACATACAAAAATACATTAATATTATTCAGAGATTTATTGACATAAGAGAACCTACTAAAAACTCTATTACCTGCCTAGTGTAACCTGAAGTAAAGAAAACTTGGGTCCATGAAAATACTAAATAAGACCTACCAGCTCATGTGGTCTGACAGTTTAACAAAAAGTATCAAGTGGAGCCCTGGCCGGTGTGGATCAGTGGTTAGAGTGTAGAGCTGCAGACTGCAGGGTCCTGGGTTTGTCCTGTTACAGAGGCAACCAATCAGTGTGTCTCTCTCACATCAATGTTTCTCTCTCTCTCCCTTATTTCATAGCTCCTTATTTTTATGGCTTAACTTGCTATTATAGATTCTTGTTATATCCAGTAAAGGATTTAAAAGAACAAGTACAAAGGAGGACAAGAAAAAAACAAAGAAGAATAAAAAATCATTACCACCACTAACAGTCTAAATTATAAACAACTTACATGGCTATCAAACAGGGACCTGAATTTCAATTGGGAATTCCTGTGCCATTTGTTTACAATCCCATGACTTTTTAAAGACAATCTCATTTGAAGGAGAGAATTTCTTGTTACCTATTCAAGACATTTCCTAATACTTCATTTTCCTATAGTTATAATATCTTTTCCTTAGCCCTTTGGTCTGCTCGACTGGAGCTTATCAACAGGAGCTATACTGAGTTGGTAAAATTTAAAGAACAGGAATAACAATCAACCTCTGGGTGATTTGAGTCTTTGCCTGACTTGCTTCTGGACTCAGAGTTTGGAAAAGCAGACCCTGGAGCACATTTTGGTCCGTTCCAAATGCATCCTGCCCCAGCAAAAGGAATCAGAAGCTGTGGAGTGTAAAAACCTTTAAACGGGGTACTCAAGCCAATCACAAACAGCATCTGACATTGGCCTGCACCAGAGACCATCCAAAAAACTGGGAGTCCTAGCAGACCTACCTAATGTATAGAAACAAACCCAAACAGGCAGCCAAAGTGGGGAAACAAAAACATAAGCCCCAAATGAAAGAACAAAAGAATTCTCCACAAGAAGAACTAAATGAAATGGAGATAAGCAATCTATCAGATAGAGTTCAGAATTTTGATCATAAGGATGTTCAACAGCATGAGAAAAGCTACAGAAAGTATAAAGGAAATTAAGAATGACATAGTAGAAATAAAAAATAGATTGGAAGGAATACGCAGCAGATTAGGGGTAGCTGAGGATCAACTGAGAGAATTAGGAGACAGGGTAGAAAAAAAAATCACTCAATGAGAGAACCAAAAAGAAAAACCAATTAAAAAACAGAACAGTTAAGGAAGCTGTGGGACTACATAAAAAGTAACAATATTTGCATCATAGGAGTGTCAAAAGAGGTCAAAGGTAAGCAAGGTTTAGAGAACCTGTTTGAAGAAATAATGGCAGAAAACTTCCCTAACCTAGTGAAGGAAAAAGTCACACAAGTTCAGGAGGCACAGAGAGTCCCAAGCTAGAAGAACCCAAAGAGGTCCACACCCAAACATGTAATTAAAATGCCAAAAATTCAAGACAAAGAGAGTATCTTAAAGGCAGCAAGAGACAAGCAATCTGTTACCTACAAAGGAGCTCCCATAAGGCTATCAGTTGATTTCTCATCAGAAACTCTATAGGCCAGAAGGAAATGGCATGAAGTATTCAAGGTAATGCAAAACAAGGATCTGAAACCAAGACTACTCTATCCAGCAAGATTATCATTCAAAATAGATGATGAAATAAAGAGCTTCCCAGACAAAAAAAAAGGGCTAAAGGAGTTTATCACCACAAAACCAGCATTGCAAGAAATGTTAAAGGGACTGCTGTAATAAGAAGTTGAAATAGACAGTATGAGAAACATAGGCACAAAGAAATAAACTGGAAAGAGATAAGTGCCTATCACTAATAATCTTAACTATCAAGGGATTAAATGCTCCAATCAAAAGACAGAGTATCTGAATGGATAAGAAAACAAGACCCAAATATATGCTGTCTATAAGAGACCTACCTCAGAACAAAAGACTCACACAGGCTGAAAAAAACCCAAAACCTTCTGGAGGACTTTAAGGAAGAGAGACAGCAATACAGTCAGAGTAGGGACTTTAACACCCCACTGACTTTACTGGATAGATCTTCCAGACAAAAAATCAACAAGGAACCAGTGACTCTAAATGACACACTAGATCAGATGGATTTAATTGACATTTACAGAACATTTCATCCCAAAGCTGCAGAATATACATTCCCCTCAAGTACACAGGGGAAATTCTGAAAGGTAGATCACGTTAGGACACAAAACAAGTCTCTACAAGTTCAAGAAGATCGAAATCATATCAAGCATTTTCTTGTATATTTACACCATGGAATACTATGCAGCTGCAAAAAAGAAGGATCTCTTACCCTCTGAGACAGCATGGAGGGACCTAGAGAGTGTCATGCTATGTGAAATAGGCCGGTCAGAGAAAGACAACTATCACATGATCTCACTCCTATGTGGAATGTAACGAACAAAACAATTCAATGAAAAAAATAGATCCAGAGACATAGGAGCAAGGAACAGACTGACGAATCTCAGAGGGAAGGCAGGGTTGAGTGGGTTGGTGGGTGAAATTAATCTAAGAACTTAAACGCATATATGTATAACCCATGGGCACAGACAATAGTGTGTGGTAAAGGCCTGGTGGGGGGGTGTGGGGTGGAGGGGATCAATGAGACGGAAAAACAGAGACATCTGTAATACTTTCAACAATAAAGATAAAATATAAAACAACAACATCAACAGAATAAGAAAACTATCTCTAAAAAAAATAAAATAAAATTTAAAGAACAAACTTCTGCTTCTGGCAAAGATGAAGTAACAGGGACCCATTTTATCCTCTTGCCTGAAATAACCAAAAACAAAAACCCATACAAAATAGCATGAAAGAGCAGTTCTCAAAACTGAAACGAAGTGAGTCCTACAACTTCCCCAGCTTAGTGACTTGAGATAGTTTCCAGGCTGTGACAGAGAGGGAGAATCCAGGTGAACCTTGGCAGACTCTCTGAGTTGAACACATGAAGTTGAAAGTCCAGAGAGATGAAGGTGACTAGAAACCAAAAGACAGAGTATTGGAGGGAAGAGGATGCACAAAGAATGAACTCTGGAAATCTTCAGAGTTTACATATTGAGTATTTAGCTGAGTACTAATCAACACTTCTGTGTCAGACAGCTACCAAAGACCAGAAAAAGGGCCATCTGAAAGGATTAAAGGTAATAGTGCTCATCACTCACAAAAGGCCAGTAATAGTGCCTGTGCCCAAGAGTCAGAGTATACACCTTTATGATTCCCAGGGCACTGGGTAAAGTACACTAAGAATCTTGCCTCGATGGTCAAAAACAATGCTTCAATAGTCTAAACTAAGTACTGCTCTGTTTGAGCCTAACAAATTTTTATTTTATTTAATAATAATTGTATATGTTTAAGGTGTGAGACACAATTTGATTTACATATAAACAGTAAAGTGATTACTATAGTCAAGCTAATTAACATATCTCCTCACACAGTTACTTTATTTTTTCTTTGCTGACTAGAGCACTTGGAATCTTCTCTCTTGTCAAATTTCCAGTGAGACTAACAAATCTTAACAAGAAAACCTAAAAGGACCACGTTGCTTCCAGAACAAAGCTTTGGAATATTGCTAGAGCCCGGCCGGGTGTGGCTCAGCGGTTGAGCATCGACCTAGGATCCAGGCGACCGGGGTTCGATTCCAGGTCAGGGCACATGCCCGGGTTGTGGGCTCGATCAATGACTCTTTCATCATTGATGTTTCTCTCTCTCTCTCTCCCTCTCCTTTCCTCTCTCTGAAATCAATAAAGATTTTTTTTTTTTAAAGGAATATTGCTAGAATATAATAGGCTCAAGAATATTAATCAAATACAAATATCCAAAAAGGCAAAATTCACAAAGTCAGGCATCCAATAAGAAATAACTAGGCATGCAAATAAGTAATAAAATACACTGAGGAGGAGGAGAAAAATCAATCCATCTATAATGACTGAATACTAACACAAATGTTAGCGAGCACTGGTAGAGAACTGACTAAAGAGAAAGATGATAAAATGGCATGTGATTCAAGGTGCCATATTTTTAGAGGCATTGCTTCTGAGGTAAAAGATATAAAAAGAAGCAGGTAGGCAGCCACTGAGGAGCAGCAGCCAAGGCTCTGCACTAGCGCATAGCGGTGGGCCACACCAAGAATGTAAACAAGCCAAGGCATAGCCACTCACTATGGGTGCCTCACCAAGCACACCAAGTTGGTGTGAGACATGATCCGAGAGGTGTATGGCTTTGCCCCCTATGGGCGGCATGCCATGGAGCTGCTCAAGGCCTCTAAGGACAGGAGGGCCCTGAAGTTTACCCAAAAAAAAGATGGGGACACACATCCATGCCAAGAGGAAGAGAGAGGAGCTGAGCAATATCCTTGGAGCCATGAGGAAGGCAGCAGCCAAGAAGGACTGAGCCCCATCCCCTCTGTGTGCAATAAAACCTATTCAGAAAAAAAAAAGGGAAGGAAGGGGGTGCCTTTTGGAGATTGGCAGTGAAAAGGAAAAGCAGCGGATGGGGAAAATTTAGAATCCAGCAATACAAAAGGAAAGAAAAATAATGGCAGACACACAATGCCTCCACCAGCACAAAAACAAACAAATGCAAAACAGACTATCTGTAAAAGAAACTGAACTTTGCTACACTGGCAGAAGAGAAAGCTCTTGAACTTGTTCTTATAAGCTACCCCAAAGGCACAAAACTAATAAGTTAAAACATACAAAATCTACACAATCTAAAACAAAGAAAATGAAAACCAAATTCAAACCAAAACAACTCAGTTGGTTAACTACACTTCCCACTGCCACCCTCAC